TCTCTCGTCAATTTAACGCATCCCTCAGCATCCGTTTCCAACCGCCCATCGCCAATTTTTAATAGTGTGTCAGCATAGTTTCCAGTATTGATATCATTATACAAATGCATTCTCATCTTCGTAGTTAAACTGAATTTTGTCACCTTGTTCCATAAAATAGACGACTTGAGGCATGCTTTAATTTAATCTGCAGGTGTGCCCTTTTGAAAAGTTTGGCGAAAGTCACTAGCAAGTAAAACCACCATTCCTCCCATTACATCGGTATTGCTGCGCAAATCCTGGAGCGTTCAATTTAGTACTTCTAAAGCTTTTTTATGCGACATTGTATTTTCGTCCCACACTAAAAGTTTGCATTGTCGTAGTATTATACCTCATGCACTATTTTTGCTAAAGTTGCAGATCGGCGATTCTTCCTGGGCTAGATTTAGAGGGAGTTTTAAAACAGAATGTGCAGTGCGGCCCCCGCTTAGTAGCGTGGCGGCTATACCGGAGGAAGCTACGGCCACAGCAATGTTTTTATCTTTCCGTACTTGCGCTAATAATAAATTCGTAAAAAAAGTCTTCCCAGTTCTTCCAGGGGCATCTTAAAAGAAAAGTGCACCATTTCCAGATTCAATTTGTCCTAATACTTTGTCGAAAACTCGTTTTTGTTCGGGAAGCAACCGGGGTACAAATTCGACTACTTACTGCTGCAAAGATGGTATATCGTTCACGTATAATTTCATCACTTAGTTCATTTTCGATTGTTCGCTGAGGGCTTATAATTCCAAAGTCTCTTAATTTTTTGCCTATCATTGCCATTACTTTATCTTCAATTTTTCCACGTGCTTCAATATAAACGTGTTCATTGTATGTCATGTTCGCGTGTGTCTGCTGTAACCTTCGCAAAACATCTTCCGCCATGTACTCTTTATATTTGACCCACAATTCATGTGCATTAGATTGCCCGCAAGATGTTATGAATGTTGCATAAAGATCCCTAATTTTGGCTGATGACTGGCACTGCACAGCTTCCTCCATGGTTTCATCCCAGTGATTATCGTTTTCTAAAAGATGCAGAGCTTCACATGCTTCTCTATAAGTTGCGCATTCCTGACCGTTGACAGTTTTAAGCTCTTTATATCCTGTAGGACCCCGAACATGGTGCAGCAGCAATCGTAAACAGAAACATTCAAAATTAGTTACATGGACCGTATACATACGACCAAGGGCATCTGATGACTTTACACCGGGCCAATTTGCAACAGGCGCGCCTTGAATACGGCGTTTCTACTCCTTCTTAGATGTGTTCCAAGTATAATAGCGGGGGACTTCAGAAATAACAACGTTTTTGCAAAGAGGTCGGTTTGACAAAGCTAAAAGAAGGCTGTTAGTGTAGTTTTTGGCGGTGTTGAAATTCTTTCTTGGAAATTTCTTTCGGTGAAATATACACGCTCTCCATTTTCTAAGTGCACAGCAAGGTGAGTAACTGTTGGGTGCTTTTCGTGTAAAGGGAAGCCAAGGAGACGCCACGCTGCCTCGTTACTGCTGACATAGCGCCCTGCTTGAAAGGTCTGTACTTCATTTACGGGATTTGCCTCGCCTTCACTCCTGACATTAAATGTTGCTTGGTCGCTTCCTTTATTTATGTACTTAGAGATAAAGTTGATTGCGCGGACAGAGCTACATGCTTCCGCATTAATGTGGGCATTAAAAATTTTACATATAATGGGCGAATACGGCACGATCCAGCTATTATCTAAGGTTTCGAACGCTCCAGAGCGATATTTGATTGTAACTTTCCTGCCACCATCTTCGGGAGCTCTGCGTCTGTATAAAGGGTAGCCATTGTCATTGTGCACTGTTTCTTATAGTAGCTGTTTAGGGAATTTCTTTGTACATATTTCTTCTTTCATACATGACGATATCGAATTTCGTGCTCCACATGGACCGTGAATCATATTTCGGACGATGGTATCATACAATTCTTTATCTCGCTCAGGATCCGGAATCTCGGCGCTTATTATGTCGTCTATTTGGCTGGGCCGCAACTTCTCTTTAAGCCATATTAGAATGTGGGCATGTGGTAATCCTCTTTTTTTGTCATTCAATTGAATTCATGATAATGCACTGCACCTCTCCGAAAATTTTCCCTTTGTTAATTACATACATTAATTTTTGTACTTTTAATCTAAATACTCTAGCAACTAAATCGTGTCTGTCAGTACTTTTTTGGCCCGGCATTAGCTCCTCGGTTATTACTTTCCATGTGGGATTGCAAGTATAAAAGTAACAAAAAGATCAGGTCTTCCGTAAGTTCGTTCATATGCGAATGCGTCTTGTGTGTGTGTACTCATGTATGTAGCGGGGCTTCGGTTATTTTACCTAAATCTCTGGGGTTTACTTCGGCGTCGCTAGAAACAGCATCTTGTAAATGTATATAATTCTCAACGCGCAGCACATTTTGATTTAACGATATATAACGGAGACGTTCACTTTCTACCTTCATATACTGTGTCGACCAAAAATTGATGACATAATTGTCTACACCGGGCTAAGAGGTTAAAATCATTTTCTCGCAACATCATATGATACGCATAAAAATTCATACATGATACTCTTTTGTTCGGAGTAGGCTCCTTTGTGACCGGGTTAATGAGTGGAATTTGAAAATGATAACCCTCTTGTCCTTTGCAATAAATCAATGGGTATTGCAGAGCTTTATAAAACTTGTGTGTATCGGCTACTCGTTGCAACGTACCATCACGTGCTCGCAAGACAAAGTCTCGTGAAGAAAATTGATCACCACTAATTATGGCTGCTATTTCGTTTGTCAAAGGTGCATTGTAGCGCCTTTCATGCTCTCCTCGAGGGGTCCGATCTGCGTGAATGACGACTTTATAATCCTCTATAAGGTAGGTGTTCTAAAGCAGTTTTAGATGTTTTGACTAAAATGTAACGTTCGTGCAAGAATCTTTGAATTTTGAACACTGTGTCTCTCTCAACTCCGTGGATAAATTGGCAGCGACGGTCTACCTCAATTTCTTCGTCACCCATAAAATATACTTATAAAAATTTATGCTGTTCGTTTTCAGCTGGAAAAAGTTAACCTATTCTATGATAAATTTTGCTCTTGCACCGTAAATGTAGGCGAAAATGCCGGCATTATTTTTTCCCGGGTAACTCCGAAGAACGTCATTTTAAAGCATGAGTTATATTAACGGATCCTGTTTAAAAAGCGCCGTGACTCATTAGCATCATATAGAAAGAGAGTTTTCAAAGGTTCTTCTGGTTCCCCAAGTAACGGAAGAGACACTTTGTCATTGGAACTGCACATGCCTGCGGTCTCATCTTTCCATTTTAAAACGCTGCAAAATCGACAAGCTTTCCATAGTCCGATAACAACTAACCTGTGATTTTTATAATAAATCAACGGATCATAATTGAATGCTGCGTTATTAAAAACCGGCCAATTATTTCTTTGAATATTTTGTCGACGTTCAGCTTGGAGCTGTGCATTTGCATCTTTTCGCGCCTGTGTCTGTTCTGGTGCTTCAGATGCCCTTATAGTAGATTGACGTTCAGCTTGCTCAATTAGTCTGTGTTGAATTTAATCAGGTGTTTCCACGGCTTTTAAGGCTGCCTGACGTTCCGCTTGTTCGAATAGCCTTTGCTGATTTTGAGCAGGTGTTTCAGTAGCTCTTAAAGTAGATTGATGTTCTGTGTTTAAGGTCCTGACGACAGGTGTTTCAGTTACTCTTTGTAGCTCTCAAATAGCTTTGCTGACTTTATATTAAGCTCTTAAAGCAGCCTGACGCTCTGTCTGTTCAAGACGCCTTTGCTGAAGTTGAGAAGGTGTCTCTGATGCTCTTAAAGCAGCCTGACGCTCTGCTTGTTTTTGCCTTCTCAGTTCAGTCTTCTAAAGATTCTAGCGATCGAGCTAATCTTTTCGCTTGTCTTTGAGAAGATACTCTTGAAAGGTGGGTATTACGTTTGCGAGGCATTATGAAGTAACAAAAAACCTATTTATAAAAAAAACGTTTAAATACCTAAAAGGAATTAAATTTCCTTTTAAATATTTTTTTAAAAGCAATCCAATAATATCTAAAAGGAATAAATATTCCTTTTAAATATTTTTTAAAATCAAAACAACAAAACCAATTTAAGACACAACACGAATCCGAAAACGATAGCCAAAAAAAGTCGAATTACTAATATTAAAAACATTTGCAATCTGTTTTTCCGAAGGCCGTATACTTTAGAAGAAGATTTTTTTATAAGTAATAATGTTTTTTATATTTAATAATATTTACTATTTATAAGTAAAAATGTTTTTATTCACATCTGAATATAAGCCTCATCCATAGATTTTCTCATAGGGTTTCGAGCAGTTTCTTATTGTGTTACTGTCAGGAAGATCCTACTGCTGTCTCCTATTTCCTCCTAAGGACTCCTAAGATCGTCCATGTGGATCGCCTGGCGCGTTATTATGGGGCCGATAATGCTCGGGACGAGCATGTCTTAGAAGGGGGCAGTGTTGCGCGAATTAAGATAATGAACCAGACTTCAATAAAAAATATATTTTATTTATTTGGACAGAGTTACAGTAAGAAGTTTATTACTACAATATTCGATATTAACTGATTACAATTATTGTCTATTTATATAAATTATATGCAACAAAACTATTTACTAAGCTTATTTACTGCATACGCTTGACCCAGATGGGGTTGCTGATGATGTGCGAACGAATGAGATTTGGTAGGGGTGCTCAGCCTTAACTCCTCGCCCCTCAAGGGAGAAATTATCCGAAGGTGGATCAAGCGACTTCAGAGAATTTCGATAACATAATTTGAATTTAAAAATGGTAAATACTATACAGATTACTATAATGAGATATAAACTTATGGTCCATACACTGATTTCACTTGTTACTAAGAATTTTGTATTTATTTCATTATCACTGAATTTAGCACTATTTATTAGTTCTTTTATATCACTGAAGTCCACGTTTCTTAAATCTAACTTTTTGCTTCTTTCTTGATGTCATCCTCTCGTACGGTTGGCATCTCGATTGTGGGAAGCTGAAGTTTGATATTCGCAAAGTACCTCGGAGTGTTGATGAATGTGTCTACAACCTTTGTTCTGCATTCTTGATTAGGTATAATTATATATGTACCTTTCACTTGGTATTTTTTTATATGTTCTGGACAGTGTTCAGTTATAATCAAGTCCTTAGTGGTATAGAGTAGCCAATAGTTCTTGAAGATCCTCTGAATTTTCAAATTCTCCAATCGTATATTATGTTGCTGGCAGCTACTGTAGTTGGTTTTCATCTGCATTATTTGCTCAATACATGTTTCAGCTGGATACTCTGCGAAACTTTCCTCTGGGCATAAGAACTTTTCGTCGTCGATTTCTTCACAGGGACTCACCGCTGATCGGTATTTCAATCTTTTCACCAATAGGAAAGGATATGATGGGATTATGATATGGGTAACATCGGAATTAGATATTGGAATTGATATTATTTTGTAGTGTGTGTATATGTCTCGTTCAATTAGTGGGATATCTAATACAGCAACTAAGTTATTCCTATTGATATACGAGTTAACTACTCTATTTCTTTCTAACTTAATTAAATTTTCCTTATTTGCTGGGTAAATCAATTTGGCATATTTTTCTATATTTATTAACATATTTAATAGTTCTGTTGAATTTATGATTGATTAATGTGAAGTATGTAATTTAATATAGCTTCACCATTTAATAAGTTGACTGGTAATTTAACTCTTAATTCGCAGCGAGGAGGCAGATTATATGTCTCTCTCATTGGCGGTGAGTAAATAATTGGGATATTAGTATTATTTGTATATAAAGTGAGGTTTTTCATGTCAATGGTAGCGTCAAGCAATTTTAAGAGATCACTACCTATTAACCCATCGTACCTTTCGTCTACACTATATACATATAACTTGTGTTTTTGTGGACTATGAAAGATACTCGGTAACTTTGCGTAGACAACTTCTCCGTGTTTACTGGCAGTGTGAGTACTAATAACCTCAAACGGTTCTAAGTTTACCGAATCACTATAATATTTTTTGCTAGTTCTGGACTAATAAATGACCTAGTACTACCAGTGTCTATCATAAAGACAGCTTTTAGTTCAGGTATACGGATATGTGGTAAATTTAAAAGTTTCGTACAATTAATTTTTATTCTATTGGACTCGTCAAGGCTAATTATGTGAAAAATTTTCAATTTCAGCTAAATCCTAATTATTATACTGATTTGATGCAATATATTGTTGTAAATTGTAAGGTTAATTTATTTCGCTATTGGTATAGTTTATTCTCCTTGAGTTAGCAGTTCGCATTCTTAAATCGGTGTTAGAACTCGACGCCACAGGTGGCGATTGGTATTGCGTTTGACGCTGAGTATGCGCAGGGGCATTGTCCGCGAAATACTGACTACGCTGTATCGGGCCCGGTGCCGGTGGTACTGGTGACCTAGTTATCGATTGCTGTTGATAATTATTGCGATGGTTATTGTTACGGTTGTTATTTTGCCTAAATTGGAATGAATTATTTGACGAGTTAAAAGAGCGGTTATTATTAACGTAGGGTGACAAATTGTTCTGATTATTAAATGGAACTGCTCCGTATGGGGGAGATTTCTAGGTGAATAAGTGTGATTATTGTTAGGACTCGGCCTACAGTTTGTTCGATTAGACCGTGAATTTTTACTTTCATAAACGGACTGAAAGTTTTGTTCTTCTAAGACAATTTTCAAGGCGTCTTCTAGAGTAGTCACGTTCCGTAATCTCACAAGTTTAACTAAATATGCCAGTAAATTATAAAGAAACGCATTTAGTGAACTATGATTATAAATAGATTGTTTCGCTAGACGTTAGTTCGGATCGTCAATCGTTTCGCTAACCTTAGAAAATAAGACACTTCTCAAATGTTGTATCAAGTGACAAAATTCCTGGTAATTTTCATTACGGTTTAATTTTAAGGATTCGAGTTCCAAAGCCAAACATTCCTTGGATCTCGGGTCACCAAAATGTTGGCTTAGTAATGTTTTTAATTCGTCCCAAGTCGTTATTAATATGATCCCGTTCTCCAACTAGGTTCGCAGCTTCCCCGGATAACCTATTTGTAATTACATGGAATAAATATTCGTTTTGTAACTGGCTTCCTTGGAATGAATGGAGTATGTACTCGCATTTTTTTTATAAAGAGTGGTAAAAGTCTAGTATCACCATCGAAATTAGGGATAATTTTAACCATTTCCATAGGAACTCTCACTAAATTTTCCATTTTTCTTTCTTTTTGTTACAGAATACACTACCAATAAAAAATACTCTTCGGTTATTTTTAAGTGAATTTATAAGGAAATTAAATGAAATAATTTATTTTCCTCAATTACTTAACTAATTAGAATAATTAACTAAGTGTGAATTTATCTAGTAATTAGGCGTAATTAATCCCACAAAACCAGAATATAAACACACAAAAAATAAGAAGGGTAGGAAAATACAGATTGGTGAAGAAAATCCACTCACAGTGCTGCAGTTTTCACCATGCTTCTTCTGGAATATTGGTGCTCCGTCCTTGAAGTTGGTCTGTTCCTTAATAAATTTGTTTGTTCCTTTTTTCCCGATTAAAACGTTTAGACGTACGACCGATTTTTCTGCGAAAACTTTCATTCGCCACGAAATAATACTTGGTTTTATGGGTCCCTACCGACTGCGCCAATTAAGATAATGAACCAGACTTCAAAAAGAAAATATTTTATTTATTTGGACAGAGTTACAGTAAAAAGTTTATTACTACAATATTCGATATTAGCTGATTACAATTGTCTATTTATACTTAAATTATATGCAAAAAACTATTTACTAAGCTTATTTACTGCATACGCTTGACTCAGATGGGATTGCTGATGATGTGCGAACGAATGACATTTGGCAGGGGTGCTCAGCCTTAACTCGCGCCTAAGTTGATGTCATGTACCCGGCACTTATGCCATCTAGTGTCGGGGACGAGAGCGAGAAGGGCTTTCTATAAAATGTCAATCTTGACTTTCAACCAACAGCGCCATCTAGTATCGAATTGAATAACTAAGCTTTCTAGAAGCCCCCACACTCGAATTTTCTGCACCTGGTCGGTTGGCGCGCGTATTTAATTGAATATTCTGGACGTTTCGGTGAAAATGTGTATTTAAAGGCGCTGCAAGATATTTGAATGATTCCCAAAGATATAGATTAAGTAATTTCGTTGTGATTTCAACTATAGTGATATTTTAGAGGTATTAATTATGATCGAGTCAAAATTATACAATCGTGTTTTTGATCAAGCAAATTCAAGATAAAGACATGAATTTACCTATATGAAAATTCCACTTTCGTTAGTAGTGTCATAGTCATATACTATTCGAAATTCTTGAATATTTACACTTCAAAGTGAGCGTCAACTGGAGTATTTGATATTAATTTTAACTTAATAAATTCTCCCGCTTACCAGAAAAATGGTCTTGACAGTCTATAAAATGAGTTTCCCTTTTTTCTGAATTGAGGTATGGAACCCTAAAAAGGACTATTTCATTTTTCATGTTTAGGGATAACTATAGCGCAAAAAATATATTTTTCGCACCGTCAGATAATTTATCACCTTTTAAATAGTAAGTGCTGTAAAAGTCAACCATGTATTATAACAGTGAGATCCCATGCTTTCCCTTACATGGTGGTATAATGACGGTGTCATCCACGTTAACGAACCATGCAGTGCTGTGGAATCCAGTTATGTAGACGGCTACGTGGCACCGTGACTTAGTATTGAGTTCGTATGGTCTACAAAAATATTTACTGGTATGAATGTTTTACCTTTTGGAATTTATGTATGTAATCTGTATAGCAATTCATAAATAAAAATAACAATTTTATAAGAACATCTAACAATTACACCCAAAAAAAGTTTTAACCAAAAAAATCGCTTTATAAATTATTTGACCAGCTAACTATACGGTGAATAAGAATAATAAATATGAAAATGAATGTATTTTTATGAAAATGAGCTTGGAGATAATTTTCCCATTTATTAATCGAACTGCAAGCTTACCTAATCCATTTACTTCCGACAAAAGAACAGTCCAATTTTCGCAGAACACAGCTCTTCCTAGTTATGGAACGTATTTTCTTTGTTGCAGGCTTAGGAGATTCATAGCCGGATTAAATACAATATTGTCAAATGCTGTAACAAAAAAGGTGGCGACTACATTATCTGGGCATTTGTCTTAACCTCCCGTCTTCACCCATAGGATGTTAGGGTTACATTTTCTTCTATATAACACATTCGTGGACTACGTTTTGTATGATGAGGATTTTGTTATAAATACCTATTTTATATGTTCGTGATACCATAAATGTTGATTGGTTTCCCTTGGTACTTCTAAAAGGTGTAAGAAAGTAAAAAGAGCCTTATTCAGTGCAAGTATGGAATCAAAATGCATGCATAAACAAGCAGTTTCAGTTCTTGTAAAGTATCTTCAATATCTTTAATGTCATCTGGAATTAATACGGACCGCTAGTAAATTGTATTTCAGTTTGGTAGGAACTTTTGTTAGTAGAATAAATGCCCCTAAAGCACTATATTTACATATTATTTTGGAAAATCTAGATCTTAAAAAGACGATCGTAAATGCTACAGCATCTCTGCAATACACAACGGATCGTAAAAGAAAATGAAACGTTTATTAAATATAAGAACCGCACATAATAAAAATAACATCCTCCACACCTAATTTCGGTCTGAGCGGTGTGTCTCAACGGGGCAGGTCATCTGCGCTGCACAGCTGCACAGGAATATGTGCATGTATGAGTGCGGAAACATGGAAGGGAAATATAATAGATTCATATTTTATATTCCTATTCTGTTAGATATTATTTTTGTATATTTTTTTTTTTTAGGATAGGGTGACAAACGAGCACACAGTGTCCACCGATGGTGTGGTTGCTGTGGCCCATGACATCTATATCTATTGATAATATATGCATATGTGTACCCGTGGACTAAGATGGAATACCTTTCCAGTAAAAGTCTCGGTTCTCTGCACTCACCATACGAAATAACAGCAGCATTAAGCTTCAACTATTTCACAGCATGGTATTCTGTGAGCGTGGTCCTTCCCCGGTCGAGCCGACCCATTCGTGCTACAACTATACTACTAATATAACTGCAGCATAGCTCTACCACGTAAATTCGTCATTAAAAATGATCAAATCACACACTATTTACGCTGACTTATAAAAGGCTATTGTCGCTGTTTTCCTATACAATAAGGGGGGTTCACTTGGTGGTAAATGGATGCTGAGGCCATCAACATCTGCATCTATCCTCCTTTAATAATTAAAATGCAGTTGCGTTGAAAAACGATTTTTTTAAATTTCTTACAATATTGCTCTTTTTTTTTTTAAAGTAAAATTTTCTCTCTAAATGTCCCTCTTTTTCTAAATTTTTATTCTAAATGAAGTTTATTCAAATATACTATTTATTACTTTTAAACATTGTTCAATGTATATTATATCACATAGTAACTGAAACTACTACACAGTACGATTTGAACTCAAGTATGCTTAAACTATCGATCCGCGTATTTTAAATACAAAAAAATACCTTAGACAAAACTAAGCCGCAAA